CGTAATTTTTTTGTTCAGAATGCCCTCTTCAGGGGTCATTTCTCTAGCCGACCATGGACATTTAATTTCTAGCAGACCTTTTTCGCCTATCAAACCATCTGGCGATGCTGCCAGAAATGGATGGGTCCTATCAATAAACAACCCGCAAGATTGTACTTCTGATTGCGAATATGATTTCTCTATTTCTGCCTTTGCCACGCTTTCATGCTTTTTTCCATAGTCACATGCATTGCTAAAGAATTCGGTTGGGTATATTATGGCGTTTACTAGAGCTCTGCAACTTGTTGTATCTCTTCTTCTACAAACCTCACCAAACCGAGACGCAGTCTTCGATGAAGACGCCACAAATTGCAATCCTAAGATTTTGTGGCTTGCTCGATCTGGGAAATTTTGGAGTCGGTTTTTGCAAGTTTTTTCAAGAATTCTACCTTGGCAGCCTCTATATCTTCGTTGCTCATGTCAGGCTTCTCACAGAATTCCCCATAGGATGCGTTCTCTTTAGTATCACTATCTCTGATTTTAATTTTCCTTGGTTTCAGCTTCCTTTTCCGATGTTTGTGCGCTCTCTTTTCTTCAACTTTAGCAGTCAAAGAGGTTGGACTGAAACTAGGGAGTAGCCGCTTTTGGATCACACAAACAGGTCGCTGTGTATTGTGGCTCACTACGGCTGCAGCACATCTTCCTTGGTAGGATCTCTTCTTGCAATAATTAATCCGTTTACCCCCAATGAATTTAGCTATGATTGAGTTAAACTGCTCTACAATACTATTATCGACGCCATGAAGTAAACTTACTGCATTTTTAATCAGAATTGCCAGAAATAATATCAGCCTCTGGTGCAAATCTAAAAAAAAAGGGTATACACACCTGAATTTGAAGATCCATGCGATCTGTCTCTGTTAGAGAATGCATATGCGAAAACTTGCTGTCATTTTTAAGCTAAAATAACATATAAAATATAGTTATAATAGTAACTACGTATAGTCTAATTTATTGGCAAAATGAATGCTAAAATTCATAATTGTTTTGGTACCTACCTTTCTATCTGGAAAACGTTTTTTATTCCTGTGCGTATTTAAATGCGGCTTCTTCGAGACGCCACGTTTATTTCTCTTATTGTTCATTTTTGATACCTTGATAAGAAAGACACTCAACAATAACAACACAACAATAACAACACGATAATACAACAATACAATAACGGTAATAAGAGTAATAAGGGCTGAGTATACTATGCGCCAAAATAGGGAAACAGTCGTACGCTAGATCGTATATCCAAATCAAATCCGACTCTGTGCAATATGCAAATTCAACCAGGCACGCGAACAGCACACCTCTGCGTATTACTATCCTTTTCTAACGTAGAGCCTTGTCACAACGCCGTCCTACTAGCGTTTCCCTATCACCCCCGATACCCCTCAGAAACTCTGCTTGACTGTGAGAGCGCCGTTAAAGTAGGGCTCCTCCTAGATTATGTTATAAATGCAATTACTAGTGCGGCATTTCTCCAGCTACTGAAAACTGTCTGCTTTCTAAAAAGCTTTTTTACTCTTTGCTGTCGGCTAGCATTAATTTTTTTGCTACATTTTCAATAACATGTGACTAGACAATTTTAAACGAGGAAGAGTTTTACTTTTTAATCAAGGAGGGTGGTGGTTAGCATCAGTGATTTTTCTAATGAGTTTAAAAGGTAACTAAGCGTAACTGTTATAAATAAATTAAGGAGAGGCTGCTAATCTTGAAATATTATAGTACTGAGAAAACTTCACCTCGAATATTGTTGACACGAAGTGGCAACAATTCTAAAGACCAAATCGTATTCAAAGTTTTTTTTTCTCTTTTATATACAGGGTTATTCTGACTTCGAAGTTGAGTCATTTATTTTAACAGTGAGTAGATCTGATCAAAAGAAATGTTTTTTTCCTTTACCATTTTTCTGGTAAAATTAAAGTAACAAAGTTATAGCCCTTTGGAAGTTTGAGTACCGCCCTGTCTCAATGATAATATTATGTGCTCGTGTTTGGCAACAACGGATATAATCCGCCATCGGTTCATCGCATCGGAAACAAAAAGCGAAAGAATTTGGAACGATGTTTTTACAATTATTTTATTCAGTTGTGTTGTATACAGACAGTGTCAGTCGGTAACGCGTTAAGGCCGATTTACATTTCAATAAGTACAGTAGCGAGTTAAGAAATCAGTCAGTTAAGTATTAAGTAATAAGTATTAAGTGGCGTCCAAACGTACGCGAGTTAAGTAGTCATAAGTTGCCGTTCCAAGTATAGGACTAGTCGCGCCTTCGGTTGTTTTTCTCCTTCGAAACGGGAAATTCAGAAAATGGACGTTGATTTATTTAATACCACTGTGCGTGCTATAATAAGAGAAATAGTATTAATACTTTTACAAGTTCTTGGCTTAATGTCGATCTGATACTTTTTATTTTAGAGATAGCCTCCTTCGGGCATAAATCACTTATTTTCATGACCACACAAATTTTAATAATTGCCGCATCTCTAGCTAGTTTATTGCGGTAATTATTGCATTTTGTATTAAATAAACACTCATGTTTAAGGTATTCTTCTACAAATGCAAAGGTAGTACTATCAGACCACTTCATTTTAACACGACAAAATAATAACACGTGGTCGCGCGCGGCCGCAGTGCGCAAACTTATGGACTGTACTAAACTCATCCGTCTACACGTCACTCCACGTCAGCCAGTTAAGTTGGCGGGGGTGCGGGAGACACTTCGCACTGAACTCGCCAAAAAATAGGATGACGATCTATTCAAGTCAACTTAATTAACAACTTATAACTTAACTCGCTTTTGCCGTTCAAATGACAATAACAACTTAACTCGGCGATGACGCAAGTTAACTCGCTACTGTACTTATTGAAATGTAAATCGGCCTTTGTGAGTAATGGTGTCTGTTGCGTGGCTCAAACGAAATAAAAAATGGCACATGTTTATGCCGATCGGTTTCCCAATCGAGTGCAACCAACCCCTCGTGCCTTTGTTAATGTAGTACAACGGGCTCGTGAATCAGGTGACTTAAGACGGCATGCCGGTGCTCCAAGACCTCGCGATCAAATACAGGTCCGCACCGAAATACTTGTCGGGAGGATACTTTATAAAACAAGGTAAATTTTTTTTTTTAATTTTTTTTTTATTTTTACACACATAACATATTTTGGTTTATCTTCCTTCTACAATCATTATCTGAAAATTAATGACTCAACTTCAAAGTCACCCTGTAGAAGCAGCCGCGCACGCAGAAGCCAGTGCACCGCGGCTGCTATGAGGAGCTTAAAACACTTTGTTAATCCGATTTTTGAAGTACCTAAGGTTAGTAGAGCAAGAAAAAGGCTCCTCCGGTATTGGTACACAATTCGATACCCTAGGGACAAGGAAGCGGTAGTCTTAGCCAGTTCTGGATGTCGAAGTTCAACATGGTTAGGATGGGAGTCAGGCGTGTCTGATGGAGGAGTGTTCTGAAGAACAAAGCCCGTTGGCTTTCGATGCTAAATAGTACCGAGACTGCCGTTAGAGAAGAGTAATCGATCAGTCGGACAGCCATCCTCTGAACAGCAACGAGGATGGATAATGTAGTCGGGGCAGTAGTACCCCAAATATGTCAGCAATACTCGAAGATAGGTCTTATCTGAAAGAATAAGGAAGTTATGTATAGAGAAATACTTCTTAGCCCTAAACGAATAGCCTAGTTTTTTTCCCAGCAGCTGCCGTTATCGACGAAATGAGTTTGTGTCAAATCAAGTTCTCTGTGATCTGGACTCCGACCAGCCAAAATTAACGGCTCTTCGGTAGAACTCGGCCATCCATCGAAACTGGATGAGCAATACGGCGCTTCTTGTTAGTCAAGTTAAAGTACAGTGATTTGATAGCATTACACTGCACCAGATTGTTGTGTCCCCAAACAGTGATAGCCTCACTACTGGTCTTCTTTTCTCCAGATCACTTGCAGAGATCGGCTTGTCAGTCCGAATTCATGCGTATAGAATGCTGTCACCAGCAGAGCCATGGATCGGATTGATTATACAGGAAATGAGGTCGTTGATATCTAAGAGGAACAGTGTCGGTACCAAGATCGATCCCTGTAGAACATTGTAGGATGAAGAGAAGAATCCGTCAATTGCGACGGATATCTTGCAGCCAGAGTGGAAGTTAGCCACCATCTGCAAAGCTTTTTTGGGAGGCTACAGGATTGAAGTTTGCATAAGCAGCATGTCTCAGCTGATCGGACGCTTTCTTGATATCAACAGCAACTTCATGTGTCTCACCATTTGACTAGAGTTTATTCTACAGTTGGCTGATGTAAGCTAGCAGGTCCCCGTGGACCGCTGGTGCCAGAAACCATAGTGCTTGTCACTAATCAAGCTGTGACGTTCAAGGTTCCATCCTTTAGAAATCAGAATATCGCACCTTCTACACCACTGATATGGTTAGAGTCGCATTTTTTTTTTGTTTGCGCTGCCGGTTAGTACCGCATGTACAAGAATTAAAGGCGATAACTTCTCCCACTTCGGAGGTATAATTTTTTGATGATTTTGAAATTACAACACCACTCTGCATCTCGGTAAAGAGGAATTTTAGGATCAATGAACTCTTTTAAAGTTTACGGGAACAAGTTTCTCTGATACCGGTAGACAAGTGCAAGATATCATATCATATCATCATATGTCTTCAGATGAGTTTTCGTGATTCCATTTCCCAGTACCTAACCGACTTTTTGCCGTGCATAGAGTCAACCTACTTAAAGTATTTTTTTCTTCAGACTTGGCTTGCCGGTTTTTATGTAGATATTTGTTGTTTAAATAAGCTCTACTTTTTTGGAAGGAAAATCAGCTTTGCGAGTATAATAACACCGTTTTGAAACTTCTATAAAGACTGCGTTTATCTACCAGATATGTTTGCGATTTCAAATGAGTAGATATAACCATATAGGTCTTAGTTGAAGACCTGACCTACTTTTCATTCGTAGGTACCTGAATATATCTCGAAATTGTGGCAGATCTCCAGTCATAGACACCTGCGGCTGTGACTATGTCTGGATCTATGAGCCACATGTGGAAGATACGTCGGGAGAGCAATTCTGCGGTCGGTTTATCAAAAGTAATACTTCTGAGCTGACATACGTTAGTCAAACGAGGAATGTTGCTATAACTTTTGTGTACAATAACGAATATGGACATGCTTTCACATTGGACTATTTCACAAAAAGTAAGTATATATTTTAAGCGATTATACAGAGCATTCTAAGAAATGAGCCTACATTTAATTTATGAATGCGTCAACTTGAAACTCTGGGTGATGAAATAGATGCCTATTATATTCTTATGTGGCTAGGCGTTATAACGGATTTTAAAGCTATTTGGTCTATACCGCTGAAGTTTCGAACTCACTTTCTTTCAAAATACCGAACTAGCGGGCTGTTAAAGCTGAATGTGCTTATATTTCAACAACTATTCATTAAGTCGCTTCAATCTTCCTCATGGAAAGTTCTTCCTCAAATTGATCATAGGTTATTTTGGAAATTAGAAGTAAAACTACACATCACGTTTTTCTGATATCGGTTTTTGAATCTGGTACACTCACAAATCATAGATAAATTTTAGATGGAATCTCCTTCGTCAATTACACACCAGCTCCTGTACGAAAAAACGGTGGAACAACAAAATACTTCCCTAAAATGATTAGCAAAGCAACGAAATGTCGGAACACCATTTCACTCCTTTATTTTGCATCCAGGCATGCAGCACCAACTTGTCCTGGTACACCCTGTACACATCCAACAGACACGTGAACCACTTCCAAAGAAACTGCCTGGGTAGTACAGGAAGTATCTTTGCATCTACTCAGAAAAATATTTTGATTGTTTTTTTTTGCATAACCTTCTAATGAATCGGCATCTTGCCAGACCTTGCGTCTAAAATTGCTTTTCTTTTTTATTAAGCTTGTGTAATACTCATAATTTAGTATTTTGTGAAGATACTTCCTCGACCATTACCATAAGTAATGAATGGCAGCTAGCATTTCGGCCCTCATAAGTATCATCTCAGCCAATACGACAAAATCTTCTTCGACGGAATGGCTCTTCTACTGGTACTCTTTGATTATATCGTAAAGAGATTAGAACAGAGCTTGAGAGGTCAGAAGAACACGGAAAAGCCACTTCAGTGAGATTGTCCCATATATGGTTATTGCCCAATATATGGTGTTCAAGTAATAAGCAGCTGGTGTCATCATGAAGAAGATATGAGTAAAAATCCATTGGCATTTAGAAAATTTCGGAAAACAATGTTGTATGATGGTTTGAAATATTTTGTTTTTTTTACTAGAAGTTTCTTATCTCATATCTTCGAAATCATAGCTCCACAATGTTAGTGTTTCAACCTACAATTATTGCACATACCTAATTTCTAATGATCTCAAATAAGTATATTTTTGAAGGGAACAAAGTGGCTGTTACTGGATACCCAACTATATCGAACATGAACAACGTCAGTCAGTACATAGCATCGGCGTTTTTTCCACAACTCTATCCTACAGATCTAGCTGTTGAGTATAGCATCACTTGTGAGTCTGTTGAGCCTTGCAGGATAAGCTTGTTATTCACCGATTTTTTAGTCGACGATTCATCAATAATGGAGGTGAGTCATTACATCAACGAATTCACGATTAATTTCGATGAAGTGGAAAGCTTTCATATCCCAAGTCACAAATTACACTTCCCAGCCTACTGGCTAGGGTGCATTGTAATATAAATTGAGATATTAAGCTACTCTGTCGGCCACTCTGTTGGTCTGTCTCTTGGTCTGTCTATCGGTCTGGCTATATGTGTGTATCTATCTGTCTGTCTGCCTATCTTCCCGCTTATTCCTGGTCCATCTGTAACTTGGGAAGTAACGGTCGGATTTTAATGAAACTTTCACACAGGTTGCCACTATGCCAAAGTCGAAAAATCTTTGTAGTTTTTGACATTTCAGACTCATTTTCAGTAAACCTTTTTTTGAGGGGTAAGAAATCGCGGGTTTTAAGGATTACCCGAGGGTATAACTCAATTTTCTGATGTTATATTTATTCGGCAATTCTACGCAACCATTGAAAAAAATTCACAAATAATAATTTTCCCCGTATATGTGCCCTGTAAAACTCACACAATCGTAGAGAAATGTCGATACGCGTCTATGCTTCTGCTCCCTTCACTGGGGTACTTGTTCGTCTCTATGAGTCTCCTTTTGCTCCCACCTGTGCCGCGCGGGAGGGGCGACATTACCAGATAGACGATACTACCGGTAGTGCCGGGAACAATGTCTATAGACTAACTAACTAATTGCTGAGAAATTTTGTTTATCCGATTTTTGAACTGCCTAACTTTAATAGAACTGGGAAAAGCTTACTCTTGGAGATTGTTCCACAATCCCGATACCATCGAAACAAAGGAGCGGCCGTACCGGCCAGTTCTATTGGAGTTCTCTAAATTCTAGAAAAACTCGTGCAAGATCTTAACATCTGAAAATCAATTTGCCTTCATATTGACCTTGTAAAGAATGATGATAATAACCATGACGGTCAAGATCAACATGACACATCCCAACACCTTCCTACAAGGTATTATAATGAATACTTCCTTCAGGGAGCCGATTCTCCGAATTTTTGATCTGAAAACTACAATTGGCACATTCACTATTTTTGGAAATCGGGCAAACCCTATTTCTTAGAAAGTATCCATAGGATTGCCTTGGTCCAATAAGAACTCTCATTCACGAAGGTGAGGAATATACTGAAATTTGAGCAAATCGACAGGAACCCATTTTCCATATATTTGTGCGGGGTCATTTAGTGGCCAAGCTAACTTGAGTACTATTTAACAAATCCAAATGTATTTGTAGTTTTTTGACTGGAACGGTCAAAGGATGTATGTTATGTCTGGAAATACATTCAGACCTCCAGTAATTATCAGCAATGGTCCGTCGATGAGTATAAAGTTTTACGCAAACGGTGGCTCGGACTATGGATTCAAAGCAACGTACTCGTTTATACTGGGACATGTAGATGATCTAGCTTTCAAACCAAATATAGGTGAGTACAATATGGAAGCATATCAAATTTTTCCCTCCATGAGAAGTCTCACGATGGATAGCAGTTATTGGGTAATTTTAGGAAGTGACTTCTGGCACCCCTTTTATTGGTCTCCGCACTGTGAATGATAAAGAAACTGTTACAATTTTTTATGTTATTGAAGGTTGTGGAGGATACGTGAACAATTTGGGTGGTGGTATTACCATGATGAATATGGTAGAAGATGGTACAAAGTTTTACGATTGTGTGTGGATTATAAAACCACCTGAAGTATATTTCCATAGAAAAACTCATCTTTACGTAAAAGTGGCGACATTTTTAGACTTCGGTGAGTTTGCAGCTTTTGCTGAAATTGAACTATAATAACTCAAGGACTCTTTGTGATATTAAGAATTTCCAGTATAATACTTTTTGACATTACTAGACGATTAGCAATTTATTTCATCTAAGCAAAGATACTTTGACTTTTATAAAATCCATGTACATTTTATCTTTCAAATTCTGGTGGTAGTTAATTTAAGTTACAGTTATTTGAGTATAAATGAAGATATAGAAAAGTACATATATTCAATTTAATCACCTTAGTCTATTCACTAAACCTTTGCTAAGATAGTACCCACCTCGATACCTGGAGCTTTTATATTTTCTTTTATTTGCAGCTGGTACAACGGAATTAACAATACGGCAAGGATTAACCTCCAACCAACCTTACGTTGAGGTTTTGAAATACCCCATGGCTCATTATGTATCTCCAAGACAAAAAGAGCATGTGGTACCCATCACTCAAGGATTTTATGTACGACTAAGGGGGCTTTTCATGCCTCAAACTCGACTTGCTATAGTTTATGCAGCTTTCAACTATAAAGGTAGAAAACACCTCCCCTCCAGATAGAGATGGAGTTAAAACATTATCGATTTTCACTTTATTCGTCTATTTTTTGTTACAATCAATTTATAATAATCGACTTGCTTCGCAATACTCATTATTTTTTATTAAATCAATTATGGGACGGATGAAAAAACTCGACCTCTTGTACATAGTGTTTTTTTCGTTTTTGATCACAGCTTACAAACTAATGACAATTTTCTTAGAATTGATCCATAAGAAATGAAACGATAGCCCTCAAAGTAACACACAGACGAGCTGTCAAAGTTAGTCATCTTTTTATATTGATAAACTTTTAACTCAACACCTGATTATCAAAACCCCATAGCATGTCGTTATATTAATCTCCTTTTAAAGTGCTCACGTGATAACGTATCGAGGGCTTAGTCTCAAAAGAGAATTTTTGAGAAATCATCGCCGTTAGACTCTATATATCTGCTCAGGAATATTATTCTTTATATGGCTTCAAAGAAATGTATTGTTACGCCCTCGTATAGCTGGCACCTTAGGTGGCGTGGAGCACTCTCGCGATGACGACGGTATTCAACCAGAGCGATCGAGTGTGAGCACTTGCATCCTTGGCCGGGATTCAAGAATAATCGAGTCCCGTTTGGAAGCACCTGCTATCATCTAGATCACTTCCATGGAAGTTGGCGAAAACACTGGAATGTTCCTCGACTCGTTGATAGGGAACTAAATACCCAAACAAATGCAGAAAGAGTCAGTCATAGTCGAGTCAGTGAACAAAACGCGACCGACGCATCAGCATAGTCCAGTCAACATAAATATAAATTTGTCATAGATTAGCTGCAAGTTTTATAAATGAGGTACCGAAGAGGATAAACGACGACACTACAATCATCTAACCTCGTTTGCCTGAAGCAACGAGGAAGTGAGCGCCAACTGCCTTCAAATATATGACACTGGGTCCTTGTTGGAACGCTTTGGCGTGACTAGGGAGGTACAAGAGGACTTTTGGGTGCCACCGAAGGTTCGAAGGGCAGCACCTGCAGGTTGGAGAGGTGATGTGTTCCGAATGGTGGCCGATTCATCTACGCGCTGGTCCCCGGGGTGGCTCACCGTCAGCCGCAAACCTGTCAAGTAATGTTAGAATTCCTAGGAGACCCTCGGCAACACCTGATGGGCTGGAACGTGCGAAAGCTGGCGAGGCCGAAGCTGGAATGTGAGGACCATTTGGAATATGCTGGAGCTGCTACTGGAGGATATGGGCGTGAAAATTACGGTTTGCAGCGACGCCATCCTGCGGAGGAGTACCGAGGAGGAGACGGTGCCATGCCACTTCTACAGAGCATCCAGGGGACCTACCTGCCGATTTCGACATGATCAAGGGAACTCGTTTAGGGACGAGTCGGTCCTAAGGCGGGTGCAGTGTAACGCTCTCGTACAGCTGGTGCCTTGGGTGTCATGGAGTCGCAATGTCGACGTTAGTCGGGCAAGGTTACGCGACCGAGCGTGAGAGTTTGCAGGCTGGGTCGGGGTTCAAGAATAATCTAGGCCCATCTAGAAGCATTTGCTGCCATCTAGACCACTTCCATGGTAGCTCGTGAAAGCGCTAGAATGTCTCTCGACTCGTCGATAGAGGATAAATACCCGAAACGAGGCAGTGAACGAAGAGCGACCGGCGTGTGAACATAGTCCGGTTATAAATTTGTTATAAATTAGTTGCGTGTTATAAATTAGTTTTAAAGTACTAAATTAGACTTTGGACTTCAAGAACGGTGTTTTCGTTAAAATATGATTAAACGTAATCCCTAAGCTAGCGATTAGGGTTGATATACAAGTTTTTGACATCAAAGCAAATGGTGTATGGTGAGTCTAATGTTAGTGACTTCACAATAATTATATATATATATATATATATATATATATATATATATATATATATATATATATATAGTATTTTTTGATACTAAACCTTCGATATGAGCATTTGATTTAAATAATACAGTGATGATACATGAATTTTCTAGAGAATAGCCAAACAAACAAAGGGTTGAGATCTATGAGACGCACCATGCTAATCCTTAGCATTTTCCGACGCTGAATCCGAATATTGGATAAGAAAAGTTCCTAGACATCTAGAAGTGAGCGCCCAAATATTACCCCTAGAGATTGTGAAAATTGAGTTTCGGGTGCCAGATGCGAAGTATTCCCATGTAATTTTGATGCTGAGTCCAAATTTGGAGTCAACTAGATCTTTACATCCCTGGAATTTAGAGAACAACCAGTACTGCTCGTGCCGGGTATTCAACTGCAAAAAGCGATACCCTATCAGCGCTATACAGTTTTCCAAAACTGTCAGCCCGTCTAGTATTGTTGGGGGTAACCGACGCTCAACTTGGTTAATGTTGATTCATGCTCTCTTTTGGAAGAAAAAGCACCGATCACTCGAAACTCAATTACCACTCACCATTACGGGTAGCTTTGACGCAGGAGGTGAATTAAAGGGAGGTGGATTTTTTCCTCAAATTCCGATTTAGCGTACATTGGAATACCGGGGTTGAGCATCTGGCATACGACAATAAATTTTTCATCCTTTTTCAGGAATAGCTTTGGGCCTCGGGGCGAATTCCGCGGATGTAAGATTTAGTTGAACCCAAATTCGGATTCAGCGTCGAAAAGACACAAGAATATGACGATCTGTCTGACGACTCTCGATTTGTTTTGAGGGGCTGAGTACGGGACAGAGAGAAAGCGATTTTTAGGCCATCGTCATTTTCACTCAATGTCACATCCCTACCACTACATACGTTTTATCAGTTACACAATTTCTCTATAACGATATTTTTACCGAATAATAAGGTTGATCTCATTCTAATAATATTTTAGATTGTTTTGGTGGTTCGGACTTTCTTTGCGATAATATGAGATGCATTCCAATTTTACTAAACTGTGACGGCTTTGACCACTGTGGAGATAATAGCGATGAATCAGCCGATTGCTCGCAAGGTACAACATTCTTTACTACTACTAATAAAACCTTGTGCGGGTCTCATTTCAAATTCTAGCTGATGATGAGTAGGTCTTTGCATCTAAATGAATCTCTATTATTTTTAACTTTATTTGAGGTTGGTGTTTTAGCTGAATGCTATAATATACTGGGGCGTTCTAAGACAAGTGCACATCAGTGTTCTGACTTTTCAGATCTCAAGGACCATCGAGATTATTCGAAGATTCCCAACTTCCTATTTCCGAAGATTGAGCCGTACTCAGACATCACTACAGCCACTTTCGTCTTTCTGACTTGCAGTTTCGGTATACAGTCATATCATACGTATGTTAGATGATAAGATGATAGTCGCACTTTTTGTTTTTCATGTTAGATGTGAGATAGTGTACAATAGGTACAATACCTTTCCTTACACGAAGCGGCAATTGCAGGTCTGATAGGTGTGATAATGGCTATGGCTCTACTGCTTTATAGAGTGAATATGCGAGCTAGACACCAAAGACAGATCCAGGACCATATTGAAACCATACACGCGATTTTAGGTATGTATATGCGTTAGATCAAGCCTGCTCAACTTTCTCAATATGCGGAGGATCAAGCATTATCAGCGGGCTACTAACGACTTCTATCTTAGTTACTGTTAGACCTTGTGCGACAAAAAATCAGATTATATGATTATTGGCATGTGGAGTATAAATCAAAGACCCTCTTTTGCTAAATAAACCAAATTTATTAAAATTTAAACCTAACGTAGGTAGGGTGAATCAACCCGACTTCTGGCATTGTTTCTGTTGTAATATTTTTTATGTTTGGTATCCAATCCGATGTTGACAGTAACAAGTCACAAGTTGATGATGAGCGGTATTGTTGATCCGAAACAGGAACTGTAAGGCTAAGTCAGTTCTTTGCACAAAGTCTTCTCTTGGTACCAATTTCCAGAAATCAAGATCTTCTGAGAAATTCTGTGGTTTCAATGACACCTTTTTGGGTGAATTTTTTTTAGCACATATTAATTTTGCAGTCCAGAAAGTGCCAATTAAATATTGGCAAACGAGAGTAATACGCATTTGTTTCTGGATCCGTACCTAGAACAATTATTGACAATGGCAATATGGAGCTTCTCTTCGAGATAATTTATTATGGAAAGGTGGTCAATCATTTTTGTTGCTGAATTGAAAAGAGATATAATATTGATGTGTATTTTGTTATCATTTGAACAATGCTGGGAGTCGGAAGTCATCAATGTTCCTTGTAAGTGAAATCGACGGCGCACAAGGAACACGACGTGCAAAACTTGGCGGGAATTTATCCACAGCGTGGTCCGTGGGCTAGAGTTAGATCATTGCTTTCTAAATCGTTAAAATGATGCGATATACTATACTGCATAATTCTTTGAGACCTAACAGGTTACATATTCTGGGCAATTAAAATAATCTTATGGTGCTACGTACCGTATGTTGCAATAGCCACCTCGGATACTGTCATTACGGATATTTGACTTGAGTAGCGCCTAAAACATATGGCATAATGGTTAAATCTGTTAGGTGTAATAAATATACAATGAACAATTGTTTCCAGAAGAAAGTGTAGGTGATGTCGAAGAAGAGATAATAGTACCTGATGATCCGCCAGATTATGAACCACCACCAGACTATAGCGAACTGGTAAAGATTAAGTATTACAAAAACTCAGCTGAAGTGAAGCTGCAACAAAAAAGGTTAGTGCACGATAAGGCCACATGGAATTACTTCTCAATGATGAATGAAAGAGGCTTCGACTTTCATGACGTGCTTTTCTTTAATGTCCCCTCCCCTTTCATTTTTTGTACGGATCAATTCAAAAAAATAAAAATTGAGTTAATGATGCGATGCGATGATGCGTGGATAACATATTTTAGAGTAAAATTGACAGATGAAAATATCAAGATGGCCGCTTGGCGCCGTCTTGGAAAAAAATTATATGAAAACGGGGGTCTTGTGGCACATCATTTTGAAGCTCCTGACGATTTCTTTGTAACCCTAGAATATAAAGTCAATAACTCTACCTACTACAAAATGGTGTTTTCTTTTTATACTGCAATCACCACGAAGTCCTAAGGCCTAAACACCCATGGGGTACCGTTTTTTTTTATATACTCCAACTACCACGAAGGCCTAAACACCCATTGGGTACCGTGGGGCTATAGGGGGATACAGGGGAAAGGGGGAACGCCACACGGACTCTGGCGAGGGAACATGCAACATGCACACATTCTGGCTCCGCCTACGAGATCCGCCGGGTGGTACCTCCGCGTTCGACAGTCAGAGACCATCTACCACCTACGGACAATCACAACATCCATAGCCAAGAGAAAAGTTTCTCCTGGGACGGGATTCGAACCCGCACAGCGCACGGCGACTGATCAGGAGACCGAAGAGTCTACTACTGAGGCCACCGCTGCTGCCTTGAGTAGCGCCTTAACATTTAATAATTACTTGAACACAAACCCACTAATATCCATATCTCTAGAAATAATTGAAATTCTATGCAACAGCGATAAAAACTTGTTTTGTTATTTTTTGTTGACAGTGACAAGAAAATCAGTACGGAAACAAACATCATAATATTATTACTTAGTTTTCGGTTTTAGTGCTAGATACTGTCTGAACTATTTTTAAAATGGTCAATTCTTCTCCACTGGAAGAAAAAATCGAAGCGATTTTTATTTATGGTGTGACGCGTATCTTTCACGAGACCGAAGGGACTTTTAATGATAGTTTCCCGAATCATCCTATCTGTAGAAAATATTTAAGGGAGCTTGTATCTAAATTTACAACTACTGATAGTGTAAACAACAAAAAGCTCCCAGGTTATCCAACCATCCCGCAAAAAAGGCAAGTTCAAATAATTGGTGAGATCACAGTAACTCCCCTCCACCGCGAATGTATATGAGATTTGTCCTTCAATATCCACAAAAAATTAACGATGGGCTGGTATATTGGGGAATCATATTGTGGGGCCTATATTCTTTGAACAAACTTTAACCGGGGAACTGTATTTGGATATGATGGAAAATACTATTGACCCTCTAATCATCGAAAGACAAGTTAGCAATTATTTAGATTACAATTTCCCCGGTCGTTGGATTGGCCGTCGAGGTCCTGTGGTATGGCCAGCTCACTCGCCAGATTTGACACCTTTAGACTTTTCTATGAGGGTATTTGAAGCAAAAGGGGTACGAAACTGAACCTGCTTCAATATTGGGTATACGGCTGAGAATAACAAATATTTGTAGAAATATTGATGTTACTATGTTTGAAAATGTTCGACGCGAAATTACTGACCTAGTGTTTGTGTCAAGAAGTTCAAGGCAACCATTTCCAGCATCTTCTAAGCTGAACTCAATTTATTCGAATTATTATTATTATTAAATGTCGATGAATTCAGGTAATTATTAGATGTACCACCATTTTGTAATAGGTAAAGGTATCGACCTTATATTCTAGGGTTATAAAGTACTAGTCAGGAGCTTCAAAATCATATGCCACAAGACCCCCGTTTTCAATTCTTTTTTTTACAAATATGTTGCTCATCGGCCATCTTGACATTTTCACCTGTCAATTTTAAACTAAAATATGGTATCCACGCATCAATTTCATTACCACAAGTTTTAATTTTTTGAATTGATCCGAGGGAGAAGATCAAAGGGGATGGGGACATTAAACAAGAGTACTGTACACAGCACTGAAAAAGGTGTAAAACAGGGAAACCACTTGTAAAGGGTGTCCCATGATTGACACAAGATTTGAATTTGCAGCTATCTTTGCAGTAAATTGTAGCCATCCTGAAAAAAGAAGAATTTGACAACTGAGCGCTTAGGGTAAACAAAATGGAGCGTTATACGATACAGCTTGTTTTCATTCTTGAACAATATTTCAAAAATAATGAAAGTTTACACCGGTCACCCAAAAACAAGCCGTTTAAATGTCCATGTCGAAGAAATGCTTGAGAGTGTTGGTGAAATCCCAGGAACGTCAATTCGGCATCGTGTCTCCATGCTTCCAAAATTCAACCTAACGATCATGAACAGCGAAGAGAGTTCGTGGAATGGATTATTGAACATCAACAAGTGGAGTCTGATTTTTCGAGCAAAATCATCCTATGCGATGAAGCACATTTTCTCCTTGATGGCTTTGTAAATCGCCAAAATGGCCATACTTGCGGTTCGGGGAACCCACGTGTGATTGTCGAAAAACAAATGCACCCACAACGTGTCACTGGTTGGTGCGGATTTCGGGCTGAAGGCATCATTGGACCATACTTTTTTAAAAATAAGGCTGGTGAAGCAGTAATTGTTACTAGTCCTCAATATCGCGACATGATAACGCAGTTCTTTCTGCCTGAACTAAATGCTATATGTAGATGGGTCATATGCCAAACAGCAAGTAAAACAATTCTATTACTGCATGACACAATTTCTGGTCGTGCGATTTCCGCTTTCGGTGATCGGAATTGGCCCCCTAGGTCGTGTGATTTAATGGCCATTGCCCGATGTGATATATAATATGATGTTCGATATGATATAAAGACTCAAAACTGTGTCTACAGTTTACTTCAAAGCATGGCGTTAATTTTGGGATACCCTTTACTACTGTATACTTACATGTTATCATTTCCTTCTCTTCTAGATGTTCCCAGTGTAGCGTATCAAAATCCAGCGATCAACTGAGAGAGGTCTGCTCATCCGTCGACGTGCCAACTGAATCTAATGATGAAAGATCTAATTCAACCGCAAGTACGAGCAGAGGCTGTCAAACAACACCAGTCAGGGTACCCGATTCACCCCCACCCTCCTATGATCACCTTCCTGGTGGAGATGCTGCTAGAGATCGACAGGGGGAACCAGGTATAACTTCTAGATATCAGTAATATAGAAAACTTGGCTTGGACCTAACAAAAAGGACAAATATTATTCATTGGTACAGTCAAAGCATTCGTCCTCAAGGTACACTACTCGAAACAATTAAGGGAGCAAGAAAAACATCAATATTTTTTTGTTATCTTTGACAAGCTGTATTTCGGTTAAAAATCATCATATCTATACTCTAAAAACAGCATTTTGAAGCTAAAAGCGCAATGGTTCTTATGCAATTCTAACATATAGCGCAAGAAATTTTGTTTACAAAACTTTTTACTCCACGGACTTGTAAAAAAATGTTTCTGTTAACCATCATATAAATCAGATACCTCTTTTATTCAGCTTCAATATCCTCTTTTAAAATATCCTTACGATCATTGGGCGCATGAATATCTGACTTTCAGTAAAAAAGTATTCTTTTGTCATCGACCACTGACATCTCGGTAACCAGTGGTCGCACAAAAAATGCAAGGGTATATTAAAACTGGAATAAACCTCTTTTTGCTTCCTTGGTGATGAAAAAGTCAAAAAAGTTATATTTGTCTTGTTTTGGACAGTCTACCGCATTTTGAGACTTTTTTTGGGAAGGCTATTGTTTTAAGATCTCTTTATACCTTAAGGTATCCCTCATAACCTTGCACGAGAGCAGAGCAATCTATCGCAAGATTTGTCCGGCCCGATGTGCCAAAATTTGACAGAAATCTAAGGAGCAACATTTTTATATCAAGACATCCTGTAATCTGGTTGTAAATGGAAAAATCATTTTTATTTTTCTGTTTTCACTATTAGATATTTGTCACACCTTCAATTTTATTTCTTTTATTAATGGAATATTCAAAAAAAAACCAAAAATGCTGACCAGGCGCGGATGTAGGAGGCATTCTTGGAGGGTTTCCGGCGGGGGATTCAGGAATTTCTCGGTCCGGACAAACCGTGTAATGGTACGATCTGCCGTCGTGCAGGGCTATTAGGGATACATTTAGGTATAAATAACCTAAAAACATTAACCTTCTCAGTAGCAGTCCCAATTTTTCAAAATAAGGCAAAAAGTAACTTTTGTTGACTTATTTAAAATTAACAGTAAGGAAACAAAGAAATGATCGTCAAAGGCGGCAATCAAATCTTATTCAGGGTGTTTCAGAACTATGGGATCAAACTTGTAGGGGTTATTCAGTGTACTAGTAGAAAACATTTGAGAATAGGGACCCATATCCGGCGCTTGTGTGTTGTTATCTTTAAAAACGATTACAGAAATTGTTCTTTGTAGCTGCATTCCATATCGCCGTACTCATGCTATCGTTTTTGTGAAGTTTGCAAGAATTTAACAAAAATTAATTGTTGCTAATGGAAAACTTTACCAATCAAGAATTGGCGGATATGCATCTGGTAGACGGAGCAACAAGCTGTAATGCACGAGCAGCAGCGCGGTTGTATCAAGAACGTTATCCCGAACGACAGCATCCGGGATACAAAAAGTTTATTGATATTCATCAGCGGCTCTCCGAGACAGGCATGTTTAAAACCAACATACATGATACTGGTGTTACTCGAACCGTAAGAACGGTCGAATTTGAAGAAGAGGTCCGTCAGCGAGTTTCCGAGGAACCATCAAGCAGCACACGTCACATTGCTGGGGATATGAATACGAGTAACGCTTCCTTCTGGCGGGTGCTACACGAGCAACAACTTAATCCAAACCACTTCCAGAAAGATCAAGGATTATCGTCCTAGAGTTCAATTTTGTTAATGGCTTCTTCATCAAATCGCTGCACAACCAAATGTTTTATGGACCGATGAAATCTCTTTCACAAGAGACGGTATTCTTAATAGTAGGATTTTTTCTTAGAAAACATCAGCAACGTTGGTCTGTCAACGTATGGGCAGGCATTGTTGATGAGTATTTGATTGGGGCATACCTTCCACCGGAACGGTTAACAGGACCTATTTACCGGCGTTTCTTGAAGTTTTTCTAGAACTTCTTGAAAATGTTCCATTGAACGTTGGACAGCAAGTGTGGTTTCAGCATGATGGAGCGCCGGCTCACTTTGCTGTACAAGTACGTGCGTATTTGGCTCAGCGGTTTGGGCACGGTTGGATTGCCAGAGGTGGAGCAGCTTCTGGACCTGCTAGGTCACCTGATTTAACGTCGCTAGATTTTTTCCTGTGGGGACATGTGAAGTTTTTGGTTACGAAACTCCAGTAGAAACAGAGCAAGACTTAATTGGACGGATTACAACAGCATTTAAAATCATTCAAGTATCGGGTATCAAATTTTTAGTCAAGTCCGCCGAAATCATGTGCGACGTTTAAATCGGTGCATTCAGGTTGGAGGAAGACATTTTGAACAAGTGTTGTGATATGATGTACAAAAGGCAAAAATTAAATGCATTAAATCCTATTTAGGCAATTCATCGTCTTTCTAAATTTTAACGCGTCTTAGGGCCGAAGTGCCGTAGTGGCACTTTTCCGGATATGGGCCCTATACTCAAATGTTTTCTACTGTTACACTGAATAACCCCTACAAGTTTGATCCCTTAGTTCCGAAACACCCTGAATCAGATTTATTCCAGTTTTCGGAAATACCCTTGCATTCTCTGTGCGAACACTAGTTACTGAGTAATTCAAACCCAGATATCTCCAAGCCAAATGATCGCATGGAGGCTATTCAAACAGGATATTGAAGCTGAATAAACAGAGTATCTGATGCGTATAGTGCTCTAACCGCAAACGTTTTTTCAAGACAGTGGACTAAAAAGAAAACGGTAAAAGTCTTGCAAAAATATTTGAGTAGTGTAATTAGGAGGTACATTTTTTAAGGAAAGTACCAAAAATAGACAAATCACGATTTGTTTAAAAGTTCTTCAAAAAGAAAAAAATTGTGGCAATGGTTTTTAAACCATTTGGCGACCTACTGGTTATCTGTGTTGACCACCAATTTATAGTCCATATACTTGGCTCCTGGTGGTTTTCTGACATTACCACGGTAAGTACTGTTGTGTATGATCTAGGGCTTCTTCAATGAACGAAACCAATAAAAAAGCTTAGCTGGTGGGAATATGGGGTACAGTCGCACGCATCTAATCAAATAATGGCATGTTTTGTGACGATAATTATGTTGCGTTTCATCTGGGTATTTATCAGCTTTGAGATGACAGTCAACAAAATAGCTACAAAATATCTTAACTTGGGGAAACAGCATGTATAGTCACACTCAATTCATTTTGCCTCTGTGTAATATAAGTATGGTTTAAAGAAACAATTAGAACTCTCGTGTTTGCCATGTAACATATTGGTATATCATCTGCGTTCGTTAATTTCCTGGGAAGAGCATATCCACCAGGATGATAACCATAAAAATACAGTATCTTATAACGAGCATTACACAGCCAATGCGTCATAGAGAGCGTAAATGTGAAAACTGGCTTAATGTCACTCGGTGAGGATCCTCCTCAGTTCCGTATGATTTGTGTGATGTAGTAAACCGGAAGATAGCAGGCATTATCAAGCCTGTGTTGACATTAATTTATTTTGCCCATGAAGATAGTAGTGATAGCGTACTGTAATTTGAAGGGCTATTTCATATTCACTAGTACTTGGCAACAAAAGGTTTGCTAAATTTATATATGCTGGTCGTTGTTAGCATGACGTACATTTCATGACTGATAAGGTACTACCAGCACTAAGAAAACTTGATGATCTCGTTTCAGAGCCAACAACAACCTGTGCGCCAAGATCTCTCCTGGAAAACCTCCCGAAGTACCCGACACACATCCTCAGGGAGTTAAGAAAAGGATTCAGGAACTGTAAGGCTCTCAGTTTGGTTAGGCAATCCAAGATAACAATTAGTCGTTCAGAAGAAGACCTTGTGAAGTATTGCTCCGATTCGGAGCTGGTTCTCAATTCGAGTGCTACTTTAAGAGTTTGGGCTAAGTCAAACAAGATACGATTTAAAAAGAGCTTTTCGTCAGATGACTTGGACATGCTGTGAGCTGAACGTATTTAATGATAGGCATTGTCCAATTACCTTCACATAATATCAAGTTCACGATCTTTACTCTTTACTTTCTCCTAGTCCTAGAGTGTTTCAGAACAATTAAGAAAAGCGGCCTCAGGCTGAATATGTTCTGTTGCTTTACATCTCTATGTAAATCGCTAATAGGTGGTGACGAAAGCAGCCAAATTTGATTCAGCTTATGAAACTTTCGCCTAGTATGCGAAAGCTGGTAGCATGGTAGATGCTTAGTGCCATCTATATTTCTTGAAAAACAAAGATGAAGAATAATTTATAAATATAACATAATCATAAATAGCTGCTTAAAGTATTTGCAGTTGTACGGGTGGCCAGAGGTTGGTCTGTCAAATATGACCGTCAGGCTACGAAATGGTAGCGCGCTGTCTGATATTCTGATAGTATAAAATTGAAGTGTTTAGAAATGATGCGCTGGTATCGCGTTGAGAGTCCTTGACATGATTATATTTGTCAGGCCAACTATTGACCAACCGGACCAACTGGAAAAGCTAATAGTAAGTATTGGTAGGGCTGCAGACGATATACGGATGCTTCTGAAACATCCATTTACCGCTATGTTTGCATGAATTATTGTACTTTTCCATGCAATCATTCTCATAATCTGGTCCAGAAACCGATAATGTCGTACATGTACGAGATTTCTCGTACGTCTGGCAACCCTGAATGGTGAACACTTGCCTGCTTATGGAACATGCTGCCATTTGGGATACCGATTTGGCAGTAACACCTACTACATACCTTCTAAATATTTAGGACGGTAATATAAGATATGAAACAGTAGCATAGGAGCTCAGGATAATTACGCTTGGGTATAGTTGTTATCACTGTTCTTGGTGGTTACGTCATCAACGGCATATGAAATACGTAAACAGATTGATTCTCCTTACCATGCGTGGATCTTAATACTCCTAACTGAGGAAAACCGATTCAAAATTATTTACTAACCGTAATTCTCAAAAATTCAATCTAGTAAGTAAGTATGGTTTTGATGTGTTTTAAAGTTGAAATAAAAGATACATACGGAATTTACAATATAATACAAACTAACACATCTACTTGCTAACTTGATGGAACATTTAATATTGGATGTGGATATGTGACAAGCTTATGAGAGCTTTAGAAGGAGCATCTTCAATAATAAAAATGGCCAATTCCTTCTGGAGTGATATGCGACTAAATAAATTACTGCTAGACAAAAAGATACATTTTGATGATGATGCTGTTAAACCCGAGCTTTTAAATATATGCCGCCTTAATAAACATCAAGCTTGTAACTTCCACATCTATCAAGATATTTAACAATCTACATTAAGGTGCACGCATACAAAACTAAAATTTTCAAAGTTGTTCCAATAAAAGTATGAATTCTTGGATTTCTTCATCAGTGTAATCTGAACTTTCTTCAAAGTGAATGATTATATTAGTATCCTCCCTATCAAACACTTGTCATTTTTAATCAAGTCCTCGGTATGTTTCACACACCTAGCCCAAACTGTAGGAGTCACCTTCGCTAGCGCATCATCCCAAACTTTCAAAACTGCCTTGTCACCATAGCCATTTTCCCCAATATGACGATTATACCACTGTTTGTCTATTCCCTAGACTAACTTAATGCGGTTGTGTTGACAATGATAAAAGCGGGGAGTCACAAAACTTGTAATATTTCGTCAATGACATATGTTGGAGCCGATGGCTTATTAAGGCAACATAGATTTAAAAACTCGAGTTTAAAAACTTGTCATCATCAAAATGTATCTATTTGTCTTGGTACCATTGTTTCAATTGCATTTCACTCAAACTGGAATTGTATATGTATATGTACCTTTTTTTAGCTCCTGATTGAGCGCAGATGTCGTGATATGTTGTCCTTTACTTCTCACATCGTAGAAAGTATTCCTAATTTCTGTTTTGGTGGCATCACTTACATCATCGGTCTTGCTTTTTTTGATTCTGTGAGTTTCCCCAGGTGTTACTGTGAGCAAACCTTTCTTGTTTTCTGATTTTAGTCGCTGAATACTGCGCAGACTAATCATCAGCACATCTGCTACTCTCTCCAGTACGCATGAAGTGGGTAACAGGGGACCGCTGTTTCCGTTCTCTTCCTGGAAATACTCTAATAAATTTAGCATGATCTGTCGGCCTTCTCCATTGATCGTATTTCCGGGCATTGTACAATTTCATTTTGAAGATTGATAACAGGACAACTCAAATTGCACACCTATTTCAAGTAAGTTGTCACTCCGTCTCTCAAAGTTTCGAGACGGAGACACACAACTAAAAAACGTATTTCTTTGAACTTACCGAACAAACGTTCACACACAGGGGTAGGTTGCATGTGTATGTATGAGGGAGATGGAGATAATATATAAAGGGATACTGGTAGTCTTACTTTGACCCGCCAAGAACGGTGACTACAACTATAGTCTTTTTGACCTTGCTTGTTACTCATACCATATTTGGTAAAGTTTTCAACATTAGGATGCAAGTGACAAAAAACAAGGAAATCTAGGTCTGAAGATGCAGTACTGAGTACTACTAAACTATTTTGAAAGATTTATAATTTTCGATTCATCAGCATAATAAATCCTTTTTTCTCTCATGCCTTTTAATTATCTAGCTCCATAGTTTGAAAGTAATTTTCAGATCAGTGTTCAGGAGCAGAAAGTTAGCTGACGGGCTGTAAAGTCACAATCTCCAGAATTTCAGGCAGACGCTAGAGACGTTTAACCACGGTTAACTCGAAACAAAATGTGAATAATTTTATCGATAAGAGGTGTTTCATCAGATAAGCTATTAGGTTTTATAATAAATGTCTCATTACTTTCCAAAACTTTTCACAATTATGTACCAAATAACAATAGAACAACGTCTACCAAAACATTGAATCAGAAGAAGTATCTAGCATCTAAATCAGTCTAATCCGGATGAAGTACAGTTAATAGTAACGAACGTAGATCATGTTACATGAAATGAAGGGTCGGCCGGAACAACGTTGTATGTAACAAAAAAGCTCAGTGGCCGAAATTAAGAAAAACAAATTTGAACCATTTTTTTCAAATGACTGCGTCTATAGTTGGGCAGCACATTAAAGGAACAATAGTTATACAAGGTTATTGTAATTTAAAAATGTGACACCTATTTTGCAGCTATGGGAACCATTTTTATGGAAAACGCATGTAACAAGGTTGTATGATCAAGTTACTTACAACGTTGTTACAGGGAGGCTTTAAATGACTATAAGCAAAACAAGTATTTTCAGCAGTTCTATTTATTAAGGGAACCAAAGTACACAGTAACATATTTTTAATAACAAAAAAATACGTTCTAAGTTCATCAACGTGTTTCGAAACCAAAACTGAAACTTAAATAAATATTACTGGGTTGCAATTAATTTCTCATAAAATGTTACATACTTGAGCGGAATATAATCACTCGTATCCTCAAGGTTTTTTAATTTTTCATCTTTGATTGGAAGAAGGTTGTGATACATTATAGGTAATTTTTCAGATGATATGATATCAGTGGCAAAAGTCATTGTTTCTCTTCTTTTACGATTGCTTATGGGAAATGAATTCCAGGGCTGCATAATATTATCAGATTTTCTCATTCTCAAACTAGCTGGAGAATCAGCGGTAAGTTGCAGCCACAATCCTTGTGTAATTTTACATTTGGGGTATTTCCATATACAATATTCCAAAGCTGTTAAATTCTCAAAGAAGGCTTGGTGCATCCAGACAACTTTAAAAGGATTTTTAACTTTGGCTTTAGCAATGACATCGATCCACTGGAATGGTTCATAAAACATAGATATTCTTTTTTGTTTACGTACATGCAACGTTGTTACGCGGAAGACTGAAATGGCGCGCTTTACAAATTCGCGTTACAGTGATTGATGCGAGTAAACAGGTGGGTCTATGTTGTCAACGGGTCAAAATAGGCACATACTTCGTTGTTTGACGGAAATCTTATTTTATAGAAAAAATGTTATATACAACGTTGTTCCGGCCGACGGCAACGCTTCAAATGATGAATAGCACTTCAGGGCAGGGAGTGTTCTCGAATGTCGAATGGTCAATGTCGCATGCGAGATAACTAAAATATTGCACAAAACCCAATCGATATTCCTCAAGGCAAAATCTAACCAACATAAGTCATATAAATATGTCGCGTTCTAGATTTTTTTTAATGTCCAACTAAACTTTTTGTCTGCATTATTGACCACCTTTTTTTACCCTCCGTATTGAAATCAAATCACTTAACAAAAGTGGCAGCACAGCGACAAGAATGACAAAACAAAAACACTCCCACATGAGAAATATACCACAGAGACAAAACAGGACATTCTCTGTGTTGTACTTACATCCATTTCAATCTTCTCAGGAATACAAAGTTGATCCCTTTGTTCGACTCCCAATCGTCTTACAATAAATTTACATACATAAGAGTTTTCAAACAGCTTTATTTATTGACTGCGTTCAAACTAATTTCCACCACATTAGTACACTTCTCCATCCGCCAAAACCAGTCCTTAAACCAGCGCTGCGAACTTTCACCCGGGAGTGCGGTACACTCGTGCCAAGCCCTCAGAAGATCTTCATCGCTAAAAACCGTTTTCCTTTTAGCTTTGCGAAAACAGTGCAATGTCGAAAGGAGCAAGATGTGGACTATAAGGAGAGTGCTCAATAACTTTCAGTCCAGTAGTGGTCAAATACTCGCCGCAGGCTTGACGCGGTGAGCTGGAGCGTTGTCATGGTGGAGGTACCAAGTGTCCAATCTTGACTTCTCCGCAGGTTTTTCATAGACTCTATGACTTTATGCAGGCACTGTTCCGTGTACCACATAGCTGTGACTGTCCAAAATGACCACAATTCCGCTCGATTTGAAAAATTTTTTTCTTAGCAGATCGCGATTTTCTGACAGCTACGGGTCTGTCCTCATCATCAAAGACCCAAACGTCGTTTTGAGCCTTGGTCGGCACCTCGTCATAATAGAGCCAAGACACGTTACTGTCAGGATGCCGTTCACATACCGAAATTGCCCCTTATCAAACATTTTCAGAGAGAACAAACTTTCCTTACGCATAAGTGGTCACGCAGAATTGCTGGTGTATGAAGGTGTAAGGACTCCTTTAACTGTTGGTATCTCACCCTCCGGTCTTCGTCAAGCACTTTCCTCACAGCAGTAATGTTTTCCTCTGTTACTGACGTTCGCGGTCTTCCTTCCCTCTCAGCGTTCTCCAGAGTGAAATTGCCCCTTTGGAATTCTCTGTTCTTACTAAATATAATCGTACGATGTGGCCAATCATTATTCAATGCAAGCATCATTTCTTCTAAGCACTGGTCTATGCTTAAACCACGCGTAAGGTTATACCGTATACCCTTATCTCACTACGTGACCACGATGCCATAGTCCGCACTTTACACTGTCAATACAAATGAACAACTAACTCAGCAGACGTGCTGCTTGCGGTTACTATGCACTCATGGACATGTCTCAACATGCAGCCTCCTGCGTAAGGTTTGTTAAGTCATATCGCAAAACTTTCATAGTACCCTGTACATTTATGTTTTGCTTTCTCACTTCGTCCTTGCTAACATAGCTGCACGAATACTACCGATAGGAGGTAAAGCTGAATAAGGGATACCCATATTCGTATGAAGCCGATCGTTTTGCCAAGGATGGTGTAGCTCTCGAAAATCTAGTGGGCATGGAACATGCCTTTGCGCTTTAAAAAATATAAAAAATGCCAACAATTGCAATGAATATAGAACAAATATATATATACATAAATAGCTTAATACATCTTTTGGTGCATTTACTGAACTCTTAACACTAGCTATAAAGATTTTATTAATGTCTTGCAAATTTTTCAGTTGTTTCTATTTAACTAAACTGATCTGCAGTTAGCGGGGGCAGATACACAAACTGGTTACTCCTAGCTTGATTAGAATCAATGTTTAAAAGAAATAGCATGGTTATCCCTAACTATATTGCAAAGTTCATGTCTTTCCAAATTCTTAGTTATATTGCGAGAAAGTAGGCACTAGTTATATCCGGTAATTCCTCAACACTCCCTTCCTAGCTCATATCACAATCAGCAAGTAGTTTGTTCCTGTAATTACTTTCCTGGACCAAAAACACTCAATCTTATCCTACCTATTACTCGCATTTTTCAAAACCACGTTCTCGTGTTCAGTTGCTGATTCTGTTTAAGTTCGTGCCATGGTTTCTGATGACATTGAAAAAGACGAAGAGTGGGAAAATTGTCCTTTTTTCGTTTCTCTCCGGATGTGCTTGGGATTTCGAAACTTTCTTAGCGGCATTACAAGTATATTAGTTACCTAAATACGCAGCTTTGTCGTCATTTGAGCAACTTCATATCTCTTACCGTTTCCCCGATCCCAATACTGAGAGTCGAATTTGAGGCCACCAGTATATGTGTATCAGGTAAAAGAATTTCAAGATGCCATCCTAGAGCATCTTTTTTAAAGGTTTGCGGTGTCATTTATTCCTTAGTTTGAAGTTGCTTGTCAGTAATTTGTTACCTTAGGATATAAATTTTCTATATCTTAAAGTACCATACCATCAGGCTGTCAAAGTGGAGCATTTTTGTACATTTAGGGCCGATTTCACCAACATTAATATTATGGACCAATGGGAAAATACCTCATCGAAATGCAATTTGACAGAAGCTGTCAAATGTCTCAGAATATCAGTGATTTCTATTAAAATATTGAATAAAATCGTGAAAATTCGACTGTATTATAAACAAGACTTGATTCCAACATGATGCTTTTGTATAGAGAAAACAGGTCAACTTTCATGTATTTTGATTTGTGTTATAAATTTACATTTAACAATCAGTTATCCCCAAAAGCCAATGGGAATGCGGCAAATAATAGGTCGATTTTCTAGCTGTTAAATTTGGCAGCAGATTTGGACATTTCTTAATGCATGGCAATCTCGAATTCAAGTTCAATATACTGTTATCATTACATACCTGTTGAATAGTGTGGATTTGTCTGTATTTTGCAAGAAAATAGAATATAAAATACATTCCATCCAATTCCTCATCTTCCTTTACATCTTAATAGTAATCATTCATCAATTTACGGGTTAATGAATGTCTTCAAAGCAATATAAACATTGTCCTCTCCATCCTAAAACACAGATAATATGTTTAAGAATGTTTATTCACTGGTGGGGTTATCTATCTGTCACTCGCAGGGTTGCCACGTGTAACGACGATCACGTCCCGTGGTGAAGGGCGCGACATGAATCTTTTACATTTGCTGCTTTTGAATTTAAAGTAGGAATACAAACATAGTACTTATGATAGTTGGAGCTAGACTGATAACACTTCTTGAAGAATATTTGAAAAATGTGAACACCGTCATGGTCTGTTGTCAAATTGCAAATGAAGTATCTGAAAATTCTTACATACAGTGGACCTTCGTCATAGTTTACTATCCTGTATATGATCATTTTTAGCTGATGTGTTGTATTATAAAATTGATGAACAAATATAAGAAAGCTCTTACATACCTACATACAAAGGATTTTTCATCTAAATTTCCTAGGTATCATGATTATAAGCATCTTTGGTGGATTGTTCGATCCGGAATGGGAGAGATCTCCTATTTATGAAAATATTTTTGGTATCATCTACCCGTTGCAATCAGTGCACAAAAACTGTGACATATGATTTATAGCATAACCCGCTGCCCTATCAATACAAATTTAATATAGCCTAGCCGAGGGGATGCCGTGGTCGGGATGCATATCACGTATGAACAACGTA